CTACAAACAATTTAAAAAAAAAAAAAAAAAGCCAAGCATGGTGGTGCACACCTGTGGTCCCAGCTACTCTGTAGGCTGAAGTGGGAGAATTGCTTGAGTCTGGGAGATCAAGGCTGCAGTGAGTAATGATGGTATCACTGCACTCCAGCCTGGGCAACAGAGCAATGTATCTGATAAAGAACAAGTACTTCGTAACTCAATAAGAACACAATGCAATTTTGTTTTTTAATGGGCAAAGGATGTAAAGACACTTCACAATAGAAGTTACATGAAAAGACACTCAATGTCATTAGTCATTAGAGATACGCAAATTAAAACCACAATGAGATACCTGGTGGAGTGGCTAAAACTAACAAAACTGACAATACTATGTGCTGACCAGGATATAAAGCAGGTGGAAATTTTATATATTGCTGTCAGGATTGCACAATGGTACAGCCACTTTGGAAAACATTTTGGCAGTTGAAACATAGTATATTTAGGGCTCAGTATTATCTAGGTTTTAGGCATCCACTGGGGGTCTTATCAAAGGTAAGTGGGTAAACAAACTGTAGGATATTCATACAATTCAATACTACTCAGCAACTCAGAGGAATGAACTATAGACACAAGCAACCACGTAGATGAATCTCTGAAGCATTATGTAAGTGAAAGAAGACACACAGGAATGACAACATACTGTATGATTACATTTATACACAAGTCTAGAAAAGGCAAAACTATGTTGACAGTTCAGTGGTTGCCAAAGCCCAGGCAGTGGGGTCTACACTGACCACAAATGGGCAAGAGAAAAGTTTTAGTGGTGATGGAAATGTTCGGTATCATATACATTTGTCAAAACTCAGTGAAAGGTACACTATAAAGGTGGTAATTTTTATGGAATATAAATTTTACCTCAATAAAGCTGATTAAAAGAAATCTATAAATATTTAAGAAATTTAAGTGACAGATCCATGAAAGATAACTCAACTTTACTAGTAATCAAAAAATATACTACAATAGTCCTCCCCTTATCTGTAATTTTGCCTTCTGTGGTTTCAGTTACCCACAGTCAATTGCAGTCCAAAAATAGGTGAGTATAATACAGTAAGATATTTTGAGAGAAAGAGAGCTCATATACACATAACTCTTACAACAGTATGTTGTTACAATTGTTCTGTTTTTTTAGTTATTGTTCATCTTTTACTGTGCCTAATTTATAAGTTAAATTTTATCATAGACATGCATATAGAGGAAAAAACATGGTATATTTAGGCTTCAGTACTATCTGCAGTTTTAGGCATCTACTGGGGGTCTTGGAAAGTATGCCCCAAAGATAAGAAGGGACTATGGTACTACCATTTTTTCAACTATTTAATTGACTAAAAATGATTACAGTATCCAATAAAGAGTACCTAAAAATGGGCATTTTTTTTAAAAAATAAAGAAACCAGGTCTCTCTGTATTGTCTAGGCTGGCCCCAAACTCTTGGGTTCAAGCAATCCTCCCTGAGTAACTGGGACTATAGGCACACACCACTGCACCTGGCTTGGGCATTCTTATACACTGTTGGGGTTGATGTATGAAGGTACAACTTTTCTGAGAACGTACGTTTGAAAAGCCTTAAAAACATTCAAATCCTTTGATCAAACAATTTAAATTTTTTCTCTCTCTCGCTTTTTGTTGTTAGACAGGGTCTCACTCTGTCACCCAGGCCAGAGTGCAATGACACCATCACAGCTCACGGCAGCCTCAATCTCTCAGGATAAAGCGATCCTCCTGTCTCAGCCTCCTGAATGGCTGGGACTACAGGCACATGTCACCATGTCCAGCTAAGTTTTGTATTTTTGTAGAGACAGCTCTGACTATGTTGCCCAGGCTGGTCTCCTGGCCTGAAGTGATCCTTCTGACTCAGCCGCCCAAAGTACTGGGATTACAGGTGGTGTGAGCAACCACACCTGACCAAGCAATTTGAATTCTACTAATTTATCCTGAGGAAATAATCAGGGAGGTGCAAAAAATAGGCCAGGCATGGTGGCTCATGCAAGTAATCCCAGCACTTTGGGAGGCCGAGGTGGGCGGATCACCTGAGATCAGGAGTTCGAGAAGTCTGGCCAACATGGTGAAACCCCATCTCTACTAAAAATACAAAATTAGCCAGGCATGGTGGCATGTGCCTGTAATCCCAGCTACTGGGGAGGCTGAGGCAGGAGAATCATTTGAACCTGGGAGGCAGAGGTTGCAGTGAGCCGAGGTCACACCACTGCACTCCAGCCTAGGCGACAAAGCGAGACTCCATCTCAAAAAAAAAAAAAAAAATTATAAATAAACATGTTTATTCAGCACTATTTATTGAAGATGATTAAATTATAGGCTTTTTAATAGGATGGAATATTATTCAGCTAATTTAAATGCACACATGTATGGACGTGCACACATGTATGGACGTGCACACATGTATGGACGTGCACACATGTATGGACGTGCACACACACACAAATTCGCAATGTTCCCCTGGGTGTAAAAAGCGACCAATCCTGCCTAATTGACACTAGAAGCCCTTTACGGACAAACAAGAAGCCTAGGATTTCAGATAAGTAAACACATATACAATGTCTCAACAATATCTGTGGAAAATTGGTATTACTCTATACCTTTAGATCATCATCAATTTTTTCCCATTCTTCAGCTGTAAAACTGGCTGCTGTTGCTGCTGGTTTATCTTTCCTCAAAGCTCTACTTTCAGGGGCCAAGGCTTCAAGGTGCTTTTCACAAAATTCTGTAAGTTCAGGATAATATCCTTCCTCGCCAGACCTTAAAAAGAAATAAATAAGTTTTAGAGTTAGCACCTTATTTAGGATCATCTAGACCAGTGGTTTGCAGGCTGGGTTCCATGGAGCCCTAACGTTCTGTGGAGATCTCAAGGGCTGCTTCCCAGTCTCTTTCCTCAACCCGCACAGTCTCAATTTTTACCCATTAATCTACGGAACGATACAATGAAGAAAAAAAAGGAACTCCAAAGGAACCAATTTTCATCATACACTTTAAAAATTGGATAAGGGTGAGTGGGGCGGGGTGGTCCCCAGCACCGTGGAGGCAGTGGGGCTGCTCCGCGGAGTTGGCGTGGGTTCTGGGTTCATCCCGGCACCACCACGTGAATGGGTTCCTTTAAGATCACTCTGAGGTCTGACCCGCGGCTGGCATAAAAAGTACTCTGTTCCTGAAAGTACACCTTTCACAGCAGTCTTATAGTTTGCAACAGAAGAATTTCAGAATTTCAAGTTCCTGCTCCAAGAAGTGCAATTATTATCAATGATGGAATATTAATAAATCCCGTACAGACTGCTGGAAATGTTTTTCTAAAACATGGTTCAGAACTGCGAATTATTCCTAGAGTCATGATGGAAGTTGTTAATATTGGCTGCTTGGAACATACAATTACCTTTCAGAATAAATATTGGTATTTTTTGTTGCCGTAAAATTGAAATCAGGCATTTAACGCACGATGAAAACACCAAGAGTCAATGAATAATAAGACTCATCTGTCCCTTTTTGTTGTCTGTACTCTTCATGTGAAGAGGGAATGCATATGAATTAAGCGTAATAGTGTCACAGAACATTGCTACCTCACACACAAACAGGTAGTTTGGGGTAAATGGATTATCCAACTATTTTATAACTGGGCATTTCTGATAATTTTTTGGAAAACATTTGAAACATTAAAATTTACTGCATCTTACATATTTGTCTGAGTTAAAAATATAAAAAGAATTATGGATCATGGATGGCAATTTGTTTGATAGCATCTGGTTTGCAGACTCATAGTTTGATTTTTAATTAAATATATAGCTTATGATGAAGTCAATAAACATATCAATGAATAGTTAACTATATTAAATTTTTATCAGGCTGGGCGCTGTGGCTCAGGCCTGTATTCCCAGCACTTTGGGAGGCCGAGGCAGGCGGATCACTCGAGGTCAGGAGTTCGAGAACAGCCTGGCCAACATGGCGAAACGGACTCTCTACTAAAAGTACAAAAATTAGCCAGGCAAGGCAGCGAGCGCCTGTAATCCTAGCTACGTGGGAGGCTGAGGCAGGAGAATCGCTTGACCCAGAAGGCAGAAGAGGTTGCAGTGAGCCAACATCACGCCACTGTACTCCAGTCTGGGTGACAGGGAGAGACTCTGTCCCAAAAAAAAAAAAAAAAAAATTGTCATTTACTTTTTTTTAAGTTTCAAATCTCATGTATCATATAAATTTCAGTTTAATATCAACCAAAGAAACAAAACTTTAGCAAAAATGGAATGATATTTTCTCTTCAACATATGTATGTTCATATGTTCATTTTGTACATGATATTAAACTCATAAAGTCAGTATTAGAAACTGGCAGAAAGATAATTTGGACTTCCTTTTCAACAAGGATTTTCTGTTCATAGTTAAATTTTTTTTTTCAAAGAGGTAGGAAGAAAATGGCAGATAAACAGCTTAAACAAAACACCCTGAAATTCAACCACTCAAGGAACAGAATTCTTTCCTTAGAGAGTTAAATGGAGACATCTGTTCCTTTTATTTTAAGGAAAATCAGTCTTTTCCCATTCTTTTGTAGGTCTGTTCATTCTTACATTTCTAGAAAAATATAAATAAATTTCATTTCCCACTTTGGGAGGCCGAGGCGGGCGGATCACAAGGTCAGGAGATCGAGACCACGGTGAAACCCCGTCTCTACTAAAAATACAAAAAATTAGCCGGGCGAGGT